CTCCCATCTCTCTCACTTTGTCTTGAGGGACTTAGTGAGAAAGGGTTGATGTTGGTGTTTTATTTCTCTGCTCCCATCTCTCTCACTTTGTCTTGAGGGACTTAGTGAGAAAGGGTTGATGTTGGTGTTTTATTTCTCTGCTCCCATCTCTCTCACTAAGTCTTGAGTTAGTAAGTGAGAAAGGGGTGATGTTGGTGTTTTATTTCTCTGCTTCCATCTCTCTCACTAAGTCTTGAGTTAGTAAGTGAGAAAGGGGTGATGTTGGTGTTTTATTTCTCTGCTTCCATCTCTCTCACTTTGTCTTGAGGGACTTAGTGAGAAAGGGTTGATGTTGGTGTTTTATTTCTCTGCTCCCATCTCTCTCACTAAGTCTTGAGTTAGTAAGTGAGAAAGGGGTGATGTTGGTGTTTTATTTCTCTGCTTCCATCTCTCTCACTAAGTCTTGAGTTAGTAAGTGAGAAAGGGGTGATGTTGGTGTTTTATTTCTCTGCTTCCATCTCTCTCACTAAGTCTTGAGTTAGTAAGTGAGAAAGGGGTGATGTTGGTGTTTTATTTCTCTGCTCCCATCTCTCTCACTTTGTCTTGAGTTAGTAAGTGAGAAAAGGGTGATGTCGGTGTTCTATTTCTCAGCTCCCATCTCTCCCTCTATGTCTTGAGGGACTAAGTGAGAAAGGGTTGATGTTGGTGTTTTGTTTCTCTGCTTCCATCTTTCTCACTTTGTCTTGAGGAAGTAAATGAGAAAGGGTAATGTTTATGTTTATACTTGTTTATCATCATATAGCAGGTCCTTTGCAGATCGTCACTGTACCACCTTATGCACTTTCCTGCCCAAGGTGTCACTTATATCCTGTGCCAATCTTCCTGCTGGTCGGCCTCTGCCTCCTCTTTGTGCCAACACATGCCTTCTGATACCATTCTTTCTAATCTACTATAACACTTGAAATAGCTAAAATATTTTGGTTTCTGAGAAATAATGTGCTTTAGTAGCCAATCTTTTATGATGTTTAGATTTTGGGATGTCAGTATTTATATGCTTTTTGTCTATAGTATTCTGAGAATCTTTATATAGCTTAAATACCCCTGTTATCTTCCTTAATGACTTGTGCTTGTCTTTTGCTTCTCTGTCTTTTTCTTCTTTGCTGCAAATATCACTCCCCTCCATTCATCTCTTTGTTAGGCCTTCTCTTTCCAGTTGGTGACACCAAGTGTTTGCAGGTCTGTCTGGGTGTTATCTCTCCATGTGTCTCGTGGTCTACGACCATTCTTCTCTCTTGTGTATACAGTTTTTACTTATCTGACATTCTGTCAGTATACACCAGCCATTTCAGTCTGTTAGATCTCGTGATGCCTGATAATGCCTCTATATACTAGTTATTGAACATTTATATATATACACACTGATGTATGTGCATAGTTATATGTGTATGCATGCATGGCCATATATACTTGCTAATTGACACTACTACTCACTAACTGTCCACAAGGTTTAGACATTGTGAATACACATCATAATTCTGCAATAAATGGTTACGTTCAGCTGCATATGATTTGGCAGCAGAATACTTTTAGTTGATTTCAACATTGTTATGGAGTGCCCAACTTTCAGCAAACAATAGCAAACTACTAAACATAAAATTGCTTAGTAAAATCACAAACAACCAAAGCATGCTGAGGTTGGTTTTGTAATATTCTAATTTTAACGCAGTAACATTCTGTCTCATTAACTGGCCCATTTCACATCTCTTCTCACGCAATATTTGACCTGCACGCTAATACCTTGACCTAATTCACTGACTAAATCACTCATAACTGAATTTTATGCAAATGCATATTTATGTAAGTTAATTAGTTGTAATTTAAATAATAATTGTTCTTAGCAAGCACCTTTCCGTCTTTCCAGGGGATGGTGTGATACTGTGCTCTAGGATCCTTTTCTACACCTTTAGGCGTATAGGTCATATAGGGCGACCTATTTTTTTTTATAGACCAACGGCACAAGATAGGTGATCTGGTCAGCATCACGCGGCCGCAGCTACTTCCTGATACTGCACCCGGTACCCACTCAAGGCTGGGTCGACCTGGGAGCCAAGGTCATTTTTAAAGAAAAGTCCGGCTCCGTCAGGGAGCGAACCCACGGTGCTCTAGGGGAGCCAGAAAATTGAAGCATGTGGTAATGGCCACAGTGACTAGCATTACCTGCTGATATATACCGGTGCCCCCCCCCCCCCCCCCCCCCATGTTTGTCTCTCCTCCTGAAAAGCCTCAGTGTCAGGGCAGGAAGAGATCTCTGGAACGGGCCCTTCTATTCGCTTTGTATAAAGTACTTTTGTGTCTCTGATGTTTCTGCGGTCCATCTTCTGTGTGGATATCTCTGGATCTGTTACCTTTGTATCTGTGTAATATTGCTGTCTGTGATGCAAATCTTGTTACATGGCCAAACCATTTGGTTTGTTGTCTACCTATAAAGTTCAATATTGGTTCTGTGCCGACTCTGCTCTTGATGTCAACATTCCTAACTTGATTTTTCCTCGTTTCACTTAGCATAGTACATAAACATTTTATTTCTGTCGTGACTATTTTCCTTCTGTCTTCTGAAGACATCGTCCATATTTGACAGCATAGCATTGGTAAGAATATTGTGTTGAACAGTGTTCATTTAGTGTTCATCACAACAACAAATTCAATATTCTTTTTATATGTTTAATAACTGTCAAAATTATCCGATTATTAAAAAAATTTGCTACAAATGACAATGAAATGTTAACCTACATTTTGCCTTTTACATTGCTGGTCAAAATATCCGTCACTGGCTGCAACACAAGCTGTGTGTCGGATCGGCCACTTTTTCACTGCCATGTTTGTGATGTGTTGGCCGAGCACACAGTCCATTTTTAGCCACTGCCTTTCTGTAGCTTCAGTGCCAGTTTGGTCGATCTGTTGCAGAAGATGTGCGAGTCCGCCAAAACTTTACCCTCCTTGAGAATTCGTTTTGCACCATGTTTGTTTTGTCAAAAATTTTGAATTGCAATCTTTATCAATTAACGCCATTTTGAAGCAGCCGAATTAGCAGTTGTGCAGCTGTGGTTTAACAATTAGGCTGCAAAACATTTTCTATTGTTCTTGAGGGCTGCAGGTGCAAAAAAAGGTTGAGGAAGACTTCTGTAAAGGGTACACAACTAATTTAACTTTTGTAATATTTAACAGACCAACAAAGAATTGAACAAGAGGAGACACAAGAGCAAGAAGTTCCACTCGTTCAGCAACAGCAGGGGTCTTTGGTACGGCAACAACAGGGATCTTTGGTACAGCAACAGCAGGGGTCTTTGGTACAACAGCAGCAGGAGTCTTTGGTACAGCAACCGCAGACAGAATCAGGGTACAGGGTGGAGGAAGTTGACGAGGAAGAGCAGGGTGATGATGAGGATTATGAGGAGGAAGAGGAAGAAGAAGATGATGAAGAGGACGAAGACGATGAGGCAGAAGTGCTGTTTGAAAAAAGAGTAACACTAAATGTTCTTGAGGATGGAAAGTGGAAGGTAATTCTTCTTCGTTCTTTCTCTGCTTATTTATCTCCAGTTATCTCATCAGATTGTTGGTGGGAGGGCGGATGGCAGGATCTTCTGTGTGCTTGTTTCTTTTAATCTGTTGTTTTGTCTTTATTTCTTTAAGGCTGTTCTTGATGGCGTCGTTCTAGCTGTTATGTTGTCTTCTGTTGATCTATTTTCATTTCTTCAGCATGGCTCTCTTTGGCAACTGATGCCAAGGCATTCTCGTCACATGGCCAAACTATATCATCAGTATCTCTTAAGCTGCAAGACTGATTTCAATCCTAGTCTTCTAATTTCTTTATTTTCAATTTTGTCTTGTTACTCCTGTAACTCCTCTAAGCCATCCTATCTCTTTATTATGAACAACAGATTTTGTGCTTATTTGTTGTAATACAGATCCATGTTTGACACTTATTGCATAAAGTTGGCCAAAAAAGATAGTTCTTAATAGATTTCCCATGGGAGACAAAGGTATCCTTCATTGTGTCAAAAGTGAGGTTATTTGTCCCAGTCCTTCATATGTAAATATGGTACTGGGAAGGTAATTAATTGACTTTTGTTCATTAGTTTAAAGAAAACAAGAATTGTCTGAAAAAATATTTAATAAAACAAACAGGTATTTATTGGTTATCGTATCATAGCAGAAAGTAGTAAACACTTCTTGTGCCATATACTCCTGCGTGCCCAGATGTGTAGATCCATTTGATGGAGGTTAACTGCGACTTCCAATTGCTTCCTACCCATTCAGAGTGTGACTATCTGTTGCGATTTTCTGAAGCATTTTCTTTGTATGAAACGATTACTACTTGTATAGCTGCTTGTTCTGCTACCTATTCCAGTGATCTGGAAGCAGCAGTTATCTTGACTTAGTTTGCCTGGTTACTGCTGATATCCTCTTTTATTGTTTCCCTCATTCTTTGTGTTGTGTATGCCTTTGCTGATCTTAGCCAGCGCTTCATAACTGGTTTCAGTCCTAGCCTTCATTCGAATTTCTTCATTTTTAATTTTTAAATTTGTTTTTATTGTAGTCTCTATATCTCTCCATTTGTCTGTCTCTTTATTTTTTTTTTAATGTCTGTATTTATTTATTTATTTATTTATTTATTTATTTATTTATTTATTTCGAATGTCTGTATTTATTTATTTTTGAATGTCTGTATTTGTTTATTTATTTATGTCTGTATTTATTTATTTATTTATTTATTTATTTATTTATGTCTGTATTTATTTATTTATTTATTTATTTATTTATTTATTTATTTATTTATTTATTTATTTATGTCTGTATTTATTTATTTATTTATTTATTTATTTATTTATTTATTTATTTATTTATTTATTTATCTATTTATTTATTTATTTATTTATGTCTGTATTTATTTATTTATTTATTTATTTATTTATTTATTTATTTATGATTGAGATATTTCTAACAAATGTTTTGTGTTCCAGAAACTTGGCATGGGTAGCCTTCAGGTGACTTACAACGAAGATTTGAATGGGAATTGTGTTAAATTCTTCAGCGACGATAACGTCCAGCTCTGCAGTCATGTCATATGTCGGGAACATTCCATTAAACTGTGAGTTAAACTTGTTACTTCTTCAGCTGCACCTAATCCTTTACTGTGTATTGTGTACTACTTCTTCTTCTCCATTTTATCCCTCACTGTGCTGTAGGTACTTTACCTCTTTACACTCTATCCCTTACTAGGGCATAGGTACCTCTTTACACTCTATCCCTTACTAGGGCATAGGTACCTCTTTACACTCTATCCCTTACTAGGGCATAGGTACCTCTTTACACTCTATCCCTTACTAGGGCATAGGTACCTCTTTACACTCTATCCCTTACTAGGGCATAGGTACCTCTTTACGCTCTATCCCTTACTAGGGCATAGGTCCTTTACCTCTTCTGCACTTTATCCCTCAGTTTATCATAGGTCTTTACCTCTTCTGCACTTTATCCCTCAGTTTATTATAGGTCTTTACCTCTTCTGCACTTTATCCCTCAGTTTAACATAGGTCTTTACCTCTTTTGCACTTTATCCCTCAGTTTATCATAGGTCTTTACCTCTTCTGCACTTTATCCCTCAGTTTAACATAAGAAGTTCTTTACCTCATCTGCACTTTATCTGTCAGTTTATCATAGGTCTTTACCTCTTCTGCACTTTATCCCTCAGTTTAACATAGGTCCTTTACCTCTTCTGCACTTTATCCCTCAGTTTATCATAGGTCCTTTACCTCTTCTGCACTTTATCCCTCAGTTTATCATAGGTCTTTACCTCTTCTGCACTTTATCCCTCAGTTTAACATAGGTCCTTTACCTCTTCTGCACTTTATCCCTCAGTTTAACATAGGTCCTTTACCTCTTCTGCACTTTATCCCTCAGTTTATTATAGGTCTTTACCTCTTCTGCACTTTATCCCTCATTTTAACATAGGTCCTTTACCTCTTTTGCACTTTATCCTTCAGTTTATCATAGGTCTTTACCTCTTCTGCACTTTATCCCTCAGTTTAACATAGGTCCTTTATCTCTTCTGCACTTTATCCCTCAGTTTATCATAGGTCTTTACCTCTTCTGCACTTTATCCCTCAGTTTAACATAGGTCCTTTACCTCTTCTGCACTTTATCCCTCAGTTTAACATAGGTCCTTTACCTCTTCTGCACTTTATCCCTCTATGTTACATAGGTCCTTTATCTCTTCCCAACTTTATCCTTCAATGTAACATAGGTCTTTACCTCTTCTGCACCTTATCCTTAAATGTAACACAGGTCCTTTATCTCTTCTGCACTTTATCCCTCTTTGTTACATAGGTCCTTTATCTCTTCGCCACTTTATCCTTCAATGTAACATAGGTCCTTCATCTCTTCTGTGCTGTGATTATCCTCAGGACTAGAGTCCTTATGGGGACATCTTTATGAGACTGGAGCCCTTATAGGGATATCTTTATGGGACTGGAGCCCTTATAGGGATATCTGTATGGGACTATAGCCCTTATAGGGATATCTGTATGGGACTGGAGCCCTAATGGGGATATCTTTATGAGACTGGAGCCCTAATGGGGATATCTTTATGAGACTGGAGCCCTAATGGGGATATCTTTATGAGACTGGAGCCCTAATGGGGATATCTTTATGAGACTGGAGCCCTTATGGGGATATCTTTATGAGACTGGAGCCCTTATGGGGATATCTTTATGAGACTGGAGCCCTAATGGGGATATCTTTATGAGACTGGAGCCCTAATGGGGATATCTATATGAGACTGGAGCCCTAATGGGGATATCTATATGAGACTGGAGCCCTTATGGGGATATCTATATGCTGTGAAATTCAACTTTTGCAAACCAGACTCAATGATAAATTGTTTGCTGGGTCTGTTTCTTTAATGATCCTTTTGTCAAGAAAGCTTAGATGAGAGGGCTTCATGTAAGAACCTTAAAAGTGTGATAGCAATTACACTGTGACAGCAGGAAAAATGAAGGGAAAGCGAGGCAGGATAGCAAGATAGAAGATATTAGATGGTCATGCATCATGGCCTGGTCAACATTTGTATCCAAAACCATTGGCAGTACATGAGACAGGTGGATAGACATGATGACCAGCACACATGGCCTGGTCAACATTTGTATCCAAAACCATTGGCAGTACATGAGACAGGTGGATAGACATGATGACCAGCACACATGGCCTGGTCAACATTTGTATCCAAAACCATTGGCAGTACATGAGACAGGTGGATAGACATGATGACCAGCACACATGGCCTGGTCAACATTTGTATCCAAAACCATTGGCAGTACATGAGACAAGTGGATAGACATGATGACCAGCACACATGGCCTGGTCAACATTTGTATCCAAAACCATTGGCAGTACATGAGACAGGTGGATAGACTTGATGACCAGCACACATGGCATGGACTATACAGTGTCCTATAGGTTTCCATACACAGTAAACATCACCAATAGTAGCCTGTCAGTAATGTTGTTAAGGATGTCAAGAGTGTTAAGCATGTGATCGCACAGTGCACATGAACGCTGCAACATGGTAACCACACTTTAAAGAAGGCCACTTTTGACACGCACCAAAAAATGAGCAGTGTTCTGCTATCCGTTTTGATCAGTGAAGGGGTGAAACCGATAGAAATTCATTGCCGAATGAAGATCTAGTATGGTGAAGCATGCCTGTCACACCAGCATGTTGTATGGGTGGAGTAGGAAATTTCAAAATGGTGTGACAGTGTGTTCACAGTGGTGTGACTGGCCCGATCCTGAACACGCTGATTTGAAACTTCCTGTACCTTTTGACTTGTTTAAATTTGAAATTATTTTTACTGCTGCCTTCCACTGGCTTGAGAATGATGCCGTCATTGTAACTGACTCACAGAGCATGTTGAAAAAGGTGGAAACAGGCATGCTCCGTGTAGAGTGGCAAGCATCACTTCAAAGGTCCCTGGTAGTTAGTATCTTTTGAATATTTTCTCCGGTGTGTTGGGAATTGAGCAGGCAGATAGACTGGCTGGTTCTGCACCACTTGGTGCTGAACTGATATATCACAAGCTGGATATTTTGAGGGCCCTTTGGGAGCGAGTGAACAGTGCTGAGGAACATAAAGATCATTACGGTCTGAGGAGAATAGCATTGCGAGGAGTTACAAGGGGATCTGGCCGACGCTCGACATTCAGGGGAAAGGCGAGACGGATATACAATCAGACAGTTACTGGTACCATCGGAATTTAAACTCTTCGCTTGCTGCTGAAGATGAAGATGGAGCGCTTAAGGGGGTGTCCCGAGTGCTGTGATGTCGATTCTTAATTCAACATTCAATTTGAAACAGGCCGAGATGGCTTTCCTGTTGGCAGCATACAGCCTCATTTATGTGTATGTTTTCTGTAAAATGTCCAGGAACAAGCAAAGCTGTGAATGGAATCCCATAGATTTTTCTACCGACGAACCTCTCCGGAAACATTTTATGGCATCTTTCAGTTCTGCAGCAGCAGCCGAGGAGTTTGTTGCAATCTTCAATGAGGTACATAGTTTCTTTCTTCTATTTTAGAATTTGAAAATTAGGTTAGATTTTTTGAGATAGTGTGTGCAAGAAATTTTCAAAAGGATGAAGAATCCAAGCGATTCTTTAGTATGGTGGTCTCAAACCTTTTTTCATGCCACTCCACTTGAGATTATGGCAAGAGCCCATTCCCCCCTCCCCAAACATAACAAAATGGAGTCAAAAAGGAATGCGTTCTTAACTTATAGCTTATTGCAGGTGTTATCATATGAATTACATATTTAACAGGAGACGGACAAACTACTCATGAAAATAAAAACATCCTAACTTTTTTGTTTTATAGTTTTCTATGTTTATTTTAGACCTTCTAAATATTCTAATGATAGTTAAGTAGAAAAAAATGTTAGTATAACAGATTAATGCGCTGACTGTCAATATTGCTTTACGCCCCGCCCCCCTCCCCCCTTCCCCACCCCCCAATCTTTGATGGAACTTCCTCACACACCCTCTCCCTTGGAACTTCCTCACAGGCCCCTACCCTCTCCCTTGAAACTTCGTCACAGGCCCCTACCTACCCCCTCTCAGATTGGAGACCGCTGCCCTGGTAGATGAATAATGGGTAAAGTGTTTCAACAATACACGAGAAATGGTAAAGACTGTTTTCGCAATATGTAAGAAATGGGTACTGACTGTTTTCACAATACATGGGAAATGGGGAAAGACTATTTTCACAATATATGAGTAATGGGTAATAATTATCACTCAGACAGTTACCACCCAAGCGAGTGAGTTTCTGTAAAGATTGCTCTGTGTTGAAAGCAAAAGCGAATGAACGTCGCTTAGTGAAACAAAATCTGGCATGTGATATGACATCTAGTATGACAGTTTAGGTGAAGGCGGTCACTGTAGCCTTCCATTGCCTTGAGAACCAGCTGTAAGCACATGTCGTGGTTGTAACTGACTCACAGAGCATGCTGGGAAAGGTGTAGACAGGTTTGCTCCGTGCAGAGTGGCAAACATTGCTTCAGAGGTTCCGAGTAGTTAGCGTCCCTCCAGGTGTGAGGGGACTGCTGGAGGTCCCAGGTTCAAACCCAGGTGAAGGATGGTATTGTTTTCACATAGACTGGTAATTTTCCCTGGTCTCTAGACGCAAGTGTGTATTTTTCCGCAGGCAAAAAAATTAATTCCTTTGGGAGTTGGAAATGGGAACGAGTAGCCTAACGGCGCTGCCCGGGCAAATTTTTGCTCAGTGCTCAGGGAAGGGGCGAGGCATATGTACAGACTGTTGTTGGTACTATTGGAATTAGAACTGTGAGCTTGCTGCTGAAGCCGGGGATGAGGGCTTATGGGAATGTCCTGAGTGCCACGGTTAGAGAGGATCGTCTTCATGGCACCGTGTTTTATCCCATATGGCTAGGCCTCTGTCTGCAGAACGGCTAACCGCACAGACACGAACTCCATAGCTCTAGTCATGATCCCAGGGATCTCCGTAAAAATTACACTTGTGTGAACTGAATGTCGCCATCATGAAACGAACCCACAACCTTCAGAGCGTGAGGCACACGGCTTGACCACTTTGCCCCTGAGATCCTGTAATCGATGGAAAAGGGGTAAATGGAAAAGGAATCAGGACTATTTCTACCATAGGTGGATGATGAATAAAGACTATCCAACGGTAGACTGGTATAAGAATGTGCTGATGTGATTTCATCTGTTGACTTTCAGGGCCAAAGATTAGCATTGGACTCAGAAATTTCAGAGAATCTTCCCGGCGAGATGGAGCCTGTTGTCTTTTCCTCTGGAGAGCCAGGGCACAAAGGTGAGTCACACAGGTGGTTTGTGAAAGTCACTAGTAATGAAAGGAGTGTATTAGTGAATGATTGATGGTCGAGTCATTGAATGATGGGTGGTTGTATTAGTGAATGATGAGTGATTGTATTAGGGAATGATTGATGGTCGAGTTAGTGAATTATGGGTGGTTGTATTAGTGAATAATGAGTGATTGTATTAGGGAATGATTGATGGTTGAGTCAGTGAATGATTAATGGTTGAATTAGTGAATGATGAGTGATTGTATTAGGGAATGATTGATGGTTGAGTCAGTGAATGATTGATGGTTGAATTAGTGAATGATGAGTGGTTGTATTAAGGAATGAATGGGTGATTGTATTAGGGGATGATAGGTGATTGTATTAGGGAATGATGGATGATTTTTCTAAGGAATGGTGGGCCACTGTATTAGGGAATGATGAGTTATTGCATTAGGGAATGATAGGGATTGTGTTAGGGAACGATGGGCCACTGTATTAGGGATGATGGATGATTGTATTAGGGATGATTGTATTAGGGAATGATGGGTGATTGTATTTGTAAATGATTGGTGTTTGCTTTAGTGAATCATCGCTGTTTGTTTTGAGGAATGATAAGTAATTGACAACTCCATTGTTGAAATTATATCCCTGATTGTGGGGCTGTAATTTTGGTCATATATGTGAGGGAAAGTTAATGCAGATGTGATGTATATAAGGAGACACTCCACACGTCACCACTGATGACAGCAAGCTGGAAATCTGTGCTAGATTAATGAATCCTCATGCAAGACTCCTGCCACACATCCTCATCATTGTGGCCTATATCAGGGTTCAGCTTTAGGGTTCAATCAATAACTTGACATTTCTTTTGCATCTGGGTAATCAGTAGTTGTCAGGCTTTTCTGCCAAATAATAAAATGTGCCTTCAGATAACTGCATTTTTTAGGGAGCTGGAGAACACTAAAGGGTCATCAAATAACTATTATTTTTTATTTTTAGGTGAACAGTATAAATTTAAAACTCATTTGAAACATGAGTGAAAGCTGTCCTGACCGAGTATCCTACTAAATGACAAACTCAGTTCAAATATCTACAGTCTGAAAGTTCTACTATATGACTTGCTTACAAACATCTGTCAGACGAAGCTACTATTCTTTGGCTGCTATGACAGCAAAGGTTTCGAAGTACTACTTTAGGAAAACCAAAGAAGGGTTCCAACGTCTGCTACCAATAGCCACACTTATCGGAGAGTTATGAGTATATAGGAAAGCCATGCCTGATGCATGCCTTCATAAATGCCGCAAACAGTTCCCCAGGGCATTCACGTGCTTGGTGCCACTGTCAGTGAGAAGCCTAACATGCTGATAAAGTGAGATGCCCTTGTGTGCTGGCATTTGGAGTCTCAGGTCTGCAGACAGCTTCCTTAGAAATCCCTAAAAGGCACAGCCAGTAATGAGCGGACGGCTCAGTATACGGATGTGAGGTTAAGTAGTCATGTGCAGGACCTAATGATTCCTTGGGTGAGCCCAGTACCAGAGCGCCATGTGTCGGCTCTCTGGAAGGGCAACTGAGATGTGGTTCTTGAGAAGAATGTTGTGAATACCTTGGACAGCCAGAATAACTAACAATGATTGCCTGGAAATGGCTAATGAAAGTAGAACATTACATACAACTATGAGAAGGAGACAAAGTTCTTTGGTCATGTGGTGAGAAAAGGAGCACTGGAAAATATCTTGACTACTGGAAAGATCACTGTTAGAAGTGCAGACCAAGAGAAATGATGGTGGATGGCATAAGAGAGTGGCTTGAAGGTATACAGACACAGCACATTTACATCACTGGGATGAACGTTGAAGAACTCATCCCTGGTTGACAGTTTGTGTTATCATTGTAACCCTGATTGACCACTTGTAAAACGCCCAAGATTGAACAAGCTATTTATTGTATGTGAATTGCAAGAATTATATAATAAACGAACAGTGCTGATTGACATGTCTTTTCTGATTGGCTGTTTCAGGATAGAGTTGCTGAAATTACCACTGTAGCACATTGTAGCAGCAGCGGTGGAAGCGGACGCTAATGATTTCTTGGAGTGCCATCACATCATAGTTTCAGCAGAATACCACCCTGTCATAGCTTCAGCAGAAATATCATCCTGGCATAGTTATAGCAAAAATACCTTTTTTTTTTTGGAATGGTTTCAGCAGAAATAATTGTTTATGAATTATGAGGCAGAGATTTTTTTTTTCTTTCTTTGCGGTCAGGATTGAAAGCAGGATAGGATGCAATAAATAATCTACAACAAAACTTGCTTTTGTTTCATCTGTGATGTGACAGAAATTAGAATGTAATATTGATGTCACCTGGAATATGTAGGAAATGTATGCATCATTGCGATTTATCAGAATTAAGATTATGCTATTTGTGTCATGTGAAATGTTTAGGTTATACTGTATCATTAACACTTTGGGTACTAAATTCACCACACATTGATTGCTGGCTATTAATGTCATGCAGCTTTCTTAGCTCCATATTTCCCACCCAGGTTTCACATTACCCAGCTGCATGTCTTCTTCTTCTTCTTAATGTTCACCGACTTAAACTCTGGCGGAAAGTTCTAGTAGTTTGTTCACTTTTGGTCTCTAGCCCTGTTCCTGATCCTGAGTGTTTGCTTGTACATCTGTTCTACAAACTGATGCACTGGTTCCTTGCCTTTCAAGCAGATGCACTCTGACTTCGAAAGAAGCTCCCGATTAGTAGACACTTAAGACGTGCTTTTGGGCAGGCAGTGGTTTTGCTTTTGTTTCCCCCCAACACTGGGGCCCCAGAACACACATGGGGAAGCTGCATTTCAATTGTTACTTGGCTTTGTCTGTTTAGCCAGACTATTATTTGACCGATGTTATATGCAACATTTATTAGCTTAAGCAATATCTTCTAGCTTTTACTGGCTGTCAACTCTGATGGAGAGTTCTGGCTGTTTATCCACTTCTGGACTTGAGTCTTGTTACAGAACTGGAGTTTTGCATGCACATCTGTTTTACAGATCTGCCTTATTTGTATGCAGACTGTTGGTTCCTTGTCTTATAGGCAGATGCATTCCAGGTTTGAAGATAACACCCATACTTTATTCCCTAGTATGATGTGCTTGTTGGCTGGGAGCAGTAGGCTTGTTCTTATGTGACCCTGAGCCTCACGTGGGGAAGTTGTTTATGCAGACTCATGTTGTCTCATGTGAGATCAATGTCATCCTGTGCTGTGTTACTGTTGAAGGGGTTAAAGTTTGTGGCTGAACGTAAGCATTTCCCACCATCCAAAGAATCTTCAGTAAGTGCCGACTTAGTACTGGTACTGCTCATGACTGTTTAACCTCACTTCAGGTAATTGAGCCCCTCACTCATAATGGGCTAGACCAGGGTTCGAGCCTTGGAGTGGGATGATTTTTTTTCCTGTTGGGGGCAGATATAAAACTTCTAACCTGCATAATTTGTTGTGATTGCACTAGCCACAGAGAGCAGTGTTAAACAGATACAGCGGTAACACAGCCAGAGGTTGACCACGCAGAACATGGACCGTAGAAATACCAGAGAACTGAAAAGTACTTTGTGTGAAGTGAGCTGAAGGACCTGTTCTAGAGATCCCTTCCTGCCCTGATCCTAGGAGACATTCCAGGAGTACAGAAAAGAAGCAGCAGCAGCACTAGCAATGGGGCCTTAAGTCTTTAGGTTCACAACTCCTCACCCACCCTACACAATCCTGAAAGTGGTTTAAAAAAAACAACAGTAGAGTGGGGAGTTTTGGTACTGTATCTTATTCACACACGAATTAATATTGTCTCATTTGTGAAGTACTGAAATCCATAACTATTTGTTGTGCTAGAGGAATATTTCAGTAATGGTTTCCAATATCATCATCATCATGTAGCAGATCCTTTTGCAGAAGGTCACTCTTATCACAGCCTGCTTGAAAAGAAACTCAGTCGTTTTCACCTGATTTCCTGCCTCATGCACATTTCTACACAAGGTGCCGCTCATATTTGATACCATGTTCCTGTCTTCTTGCTGCTTCCTTCCTCCCCAACTTATTCGCATACAAATTAATATCAACAAATGTTGTAAAGTATTGAAATCAGTTACTGTTTGGCATGCTAAAGGAATGTTGCAGTAATGTTTTGTAACATGTATGATTTATATATAGTTTTGACATATTTTCATCATCATCATCATCAGCTTTTGCAGTTAAGTGTCGTGGGGTGGAAAAGTTTGCGATCCACATCTTAATGGGTAGTGCTGGCTATTGTCTTTCCTATGAAAGTTGGGGTTTCATTTCACGACTGCGTTTGGTTCACGATTGCAATTTTTGTGGAGATCCCTGGGGATCTTTGCTGGAGCTATGGAGTTCATGCTTTGTGTGACACTCTTGGCAGAAGTTTTGCCAAGAGAGGCTGTCATATGGGGTGGGGAGAAGAACACCAGTGCATTGAGGTCAATCCTCTCACCTTTGACCGTCATCCAAGAATATATTTCCTTAACATTTACATTCTTTAACTTGCTTTAGACAAGTACCATTTAACGGTATAGGTAGCAGACTATGATTTCCACTGTCCTGCATTACTTCAGTTCCAGTCATGTTCATGTCATAGTAACCAGCAGTAATATAGACACAGTAACCAGCAGTAATATAGACACAGTAACCCTTGTTACAGTAATATCAAATTCATCTTGTAAGATTTATGTCTGTTTGAGTTATACATGCTGTACACATGAACCAGAGATTCTTCTGTTTATCTGTTCCTTCTTTCGGCTATCTTACTTATGCTGTAAAGAAGGGCTGTTCAAACTGGCAGCCTGCCATTTTTTTTTCTTATCGTGTGAAAAGCTGTTTTTGCTTGGACTACTAATTTCTTTAATACATGTTTCATCTGTTGTTATCAGTGTATGTGTACAATTATGTTCATATAACACAGACCAAAACTTGTTGAATGTTTTGTTGTTTGTTCACGAGTCATGTTAATTAAAGTAGACAACACACTGTCCAGTTAATCTGTTTTCCTTAAAATAAGATCTAGTCTTGTAGTAATTTTTGCTGTAAAAGACACCTTAGGACTTGTTTCTGTGCCTTTAGGCGTATTGGGCATGTAGGGCTAGACCTACATTTTATAGGTTATTTGGCTCTTGGGTGGTAATGTGGTCAGCATCACGCCGGCCACCTTTACTTCCCAGGACTGCCCCTGGTACCCACTCAAGGCTGGGAGCCTAGGTCATTTTTAAAAAAAGTCAGGATCTGAACCCTTGAACTTTCAATCTTCAGGTGAGCCTCTAGCAGCGACACCACCGCAGCTCCCCTTATTTTGTCACATTACAAACAAACAGTTGACATTTATTCAAGTACAAAAATAAAAAATCTCTTTAAATGAAATATTTGCTTTTATTCGAATACAGTCCTGTATGGCCTTCTGGAACATCTTTATAATTCAGTGCTTCCGTTGTATATTTCAACAGACAGAAAAAAAATCCAATTTTCTGGCAGACGATCTTAACTAGAGCTTAAGTTTGGAGTAGAACATATTTGGAGTAGGGCTTAAGTTTGGAGTAGAACATATTTGGAGTAGGGCTTAAGTTTGGAGTAGAACATATTTGGAATAGGGCTTAAGTTTGGAGTAGAACATATTTGGAGTAGGGCTTAAGTTTGGAGAAGGGCTTATATTTGGAGCATCCTGAAAATATGCTAGGGCTTTTTCCAGGTTGGGAAATGCTCTAGTATAATGGTTAGATGCTCACCTACGGATCTGAAAGTCATAGGTTCACATCTGTGTAGAGCTGCAATTTATTTTCTACATTCATGGCTTTGATTTCCATGTCAACCTAGCCTTAAATGAGCGTGAGGTAAAGTCCTGGGAAGTAAAGGTGACAGCGTGATGTTTACCACTTCAGCCATCGAGGGCTGATTGACCTATACAAATATTAATCTAGCCTTAAAAAATGGATGCACTGCTGTCCTGGCGAGGGATCTTTACTTTTTTCGCAGGTCTTATTTTCAGGCAAACACAATAAGTAGCATTTTCAGTTTGATCCCAGGATGAGTAAAGGGTTTTCACAGCCAGTAGCATACAGTCCTGGGATCAAACCCAGCCACTTTAGATGAGTATTCTTTGAGAAAGAAGGGGGCTGCTCATCTCACCTCATAACACAGTGACTAAGAAAAGGTGTTCACGGTTTGATCAGCAGAAACTTTTTTTCCCAAAGACCTTTCCTAGACTCCCTAGATATTTTTGTGTAAATCAAAAGAAAAAATTACGTTAGACAAAGAAACAAAAACGAACCTAATAAAAGCTTATAAAAAAGTAAATCTCTATTTCAGAATCACAGAAGGAAAAAAGAGAATTGAGGGTTGTTTTGTTTTATTTGTAAATGACATCAAAGATCCCATAAATTTGTTTTGAGGCCTCTAACTGGGTACAACCAACCTAGAGTATGTGAAATCCCCAATCCTTCACAGCGGTACAACTGTTCTTGTGGTAGGATCACCTGTAGATTTTTTGTGTGTTCACTGACATTGTTTGACCAAAGGCACATTTGACTGTTTCTTTTGTTCTTTGCTATGTATGTATATGTTTGTTTGTATTCAGACTTGAAATAAAGTGCGTACAAACGTGTCTGTTTGGTCGAGAAAGAATTCTTGAGAGATAGTCTTGAATGAATAAATGAATGAAGAATTGCCGTCGATGCAGTTGGGACATTCTCAGATGTGCTTCATTTCCTGCCTCATTAGCCAGCAAAAAGTCGATGGGCTAATGGTACGAGCTGCAGCCTGATTAAACATCCAATCACCCTCAGAGTTGAACATCTTCCAAAACTTTGCTCACCTCCACCCCTTTGAATCAGGCTTTCAGAGTATGAATTCCCTGTCATTTCTATTGCACTGTCCATTTGAGCACACGGAGCCTTCTCCACGTCCACTTTATTGTAAAGTAGCTCACCACCCAGGAGCAACAGCACCTAATCTAGTCTGCGCTACAGCAG